GGTGAAAACCCCTCTTGCCCCCCCCCCCCCCCCCCCCCCCCACTGGTCACAGGTGAAGGCGGTGACGTACCTGTCGATTCTCGTGATTCTGGCAGTCTGCGCGTCTATTGCCGACCATAGGATGACGGAGGGGTTGGTGGACTGTTTGTGGAGCCTGTGCGAAGAAATGTGAGCTTTTTTTTCTTGCAATCGTTCGCACTCTTTACGCGCTCATCCCACATCTTCAACCACACTACAAGAACAGGTAGCGAGACACACGGCAGTGAGAATAAACGTAAGACTTGACTGCGGTTTTTCTCGCCTTGTTTTTCCCGCCTGAGCGGTAAAAAATGTTGGAAATTCTTTCACAAATCTTTTTTTTTTTTTGTGTCTTGCATCGTTTGCACAGGCATTTTCCTTCCACCAGTGCACACGTGAACACACGAAAAAAAAAAACGCCCATGCCACGGTCGTGATGCCGTGCGTGGTGTACGCGACGACAGCTTCATAGCCGACCACCAGCCAAGATAGCAAAGAAAGAGAGAGAGAGAGAGCCGTCGTTTCTGCACTCTAGCGTGTTGTTTTGCATGGCGTGATCCGCGCTGCGTTTTTTACATAAAAGATACCTACGTAACCCTCCTGACAAGAGGTGTTTTTTCCGCGTTGTCTTTGTGCTTCTTTTTGCCAACCCGGATTTCCCATGGGTTGCTCATGGGACGGGGGGGGGGGGGGGGGGGTGTACTCATAGTCGTGCGTGCCGTAGTCGTTAGACCATGGGACAGAGGGGGGGGGGCTATCGAGAACGATCCCCTCTTTTCGCACTTCTCTTTGCGAGTCATTTGAATAGTAAATCATACACCCAATCACAGAGAGACTACAGCAGTCGAAGGGGACACTGTGTTGAAATCATCTTCTTTTATTTGTTTCTGGGCGGCAGGTCCACCACCTCCACGTCGGAGGCGTTCACGGCCTTCATCCCGGCGACGGGCACCATGTACTTCTGCGTGCTGGTCATGTTCTCGTGCATGGCCGCGATGCTCGTAGCCCGCGTCGCCGTTGACGTAGTGCGCCAAAACTTGGGCTCCAGGGCCCGCAGGTGCAGCCCGCGGGGTTGATTGAAAAGTCGGCGTTTTAATATGTTAGCGTTGGTGTAGTAGCTTGTGGCTGTTGGTGTTGGTAGTTTTAGTTTTTGGTGTAGTAGCTTGTGGCTGTTGCTGTTTTTGTTTTCATTGCTGCTGCGGTAGGTTCTGTCCGCTGGGTTTCGAACGGCTCCCTCTTTTAGAAGCCGAAAAGCTTAGAGCAGGCAGCGCTGACTATACACAGTCTAGTGGCTTGATTTGGCTTCTACATGCCGCTGCTACTGCTACAGCGGCTATTTTTTGTTGTCGCCACGACCAACCCCCCCCCCCCCCCCCTCCCCCGTTCCCGTTGCAATCTTTTTCCGTGACCTGGACCCCCTAAAAACCC